CCATGAGGTTGTACAGCACTTTTGCCATATTTATAAGTCTTCCGTATCAACTTCCGTGTTCGGATTGGAGCTTTGCCCGTCAATTGATCCAAGGTTAAACCAAGATCTTTAAAAAAAGCATTAAGGGCTTGAACCGACACTTCTCCAGAGTTGTCCGGTCGATAGACTTCTATGTTGGAACCATATTCATTAGCAACAACAAGATTTTGCATTGGTTGCTTCGTTGTCCGAGTCAGGGACATCCTTCCCCGATGCTCTTTTCCTTTTCTTATCTGCATCATGTGACTTTACGAGGGAGCGATCATAGTCTGATAGTGGCGAAGGCTTACGAAGTTCAATCATCTTTTTCTTGTGAGCATCGACCTTCTGCCTCAGCACATCTCGTGGTATGTAAAAGTACGGCTTCTCCTTAAGCTTTGCTTGACTCTTGTTTTTGACATCTCGTGGTATGCATAACCATGGAGGAAGGTTGTAGATACATAGAGTAACTGGCCAAGTGCTATGACTAGTGCTCTGCTGTCCAAAAGAATTCATACCATCTGTACTTAAGACGAACCTTAAGTTTCTAGCCTCATTTGCAAACTCTGAAAATTCTCTGTCTATCGCTCTCCACTGGGACCCATCAGCTAGGTGTCTCAGCATATTGTCTACCTTACGGTCTTCTTTATACCACTGCAACAACTTTGCGTGGTCTTTATTTCTGAACAAATGTTTTAAGCGTGGTATTATAGGAGCATACCACATAACCTTGGCAGGGATTTTCTTTCTAGGACGTTGTTCACCCTCGACGTCACCGGGATCATCGCGCCTGATCTTATACCGCGATGCTTTACATACCGGGCATTCATCCAAATTCTCGTATTCATTGCCATGGTAGAGGATACAGTCATTAGGACATGCATGTATCTTCTAGATTTTTAATCCCAAAGGGCAGACAACCTTTTTTGCTTCGTACGTAGTGCTGGGCAATTCATTTGGCTTCGGAAGCATCTTCTTTATAAGGTTTAATAAATTTCCAAATGCCTTATCGGATACACCATTCTTTGCCTTCCACTGTAGCAATTCCAGTGTTGTACCCAGCTTTTTTTGCCCCTCTTCGGCCGTCGGGTATAGCAACTTCCTATGATCCTCAAGCATGCGCTCCAACTTAACTTTTTCTTTTTCACTTTCCCATTCTTGTTGTGCATCACGAATGGCATCGCCAAGAGCATCACCGAGATCATCTTCTACCGCTACCTCTTCTTCATCTCCCCCCATTGTAGTATCATCAAAGGCACCATACTGAGCAATAATGTCATCAATGTCTAAATCTTCTCCTTCACCTTCTTCCATCATGACCCCGCTTTCTCCATGCTTAGTCCAACATATATAGTTTGACATGAAACCTGACTTAAGCAAATGTGAATGAAGACTCATTGAGCTTGAATATTCCTTTAAATTTTTACATAGGGCACATGGACAGCATATGAAACCATCCCGCTTATTTGCCTCGGCCACACCTAAGAAATAGTGCAAGCCCTCTATAAAGTCTTGGGAGCGGCGATCGGCATTGTACATCCAATGGCGTGACATAATCAGATATTACACGATAAATTATGAAAACCTTGAACATAATTAAGTATTTTATTACACAACATAAATGACACACACACGGTTGATTAATTAACTAAGCTCTGCTACAACGTAAGCAATCCCAACTATCACTAAACAAACTAAAACTACAATGCACTTCAAGAATATAATTATTTTGTGATCGTGACGCAACTAAAATGACAAAATCATTCTTCCGTTGAATATCAATAAGCTTCTCCTCATTGCTCATCGCCTCATCAAGCAGTGCCCGCCACCTCAAGCGCACCCAAATTCTCATTACGATGTAGCATAATCTTCCTCCCAAGACCAACCATCGCATCCATTGCCCTCCCACCGAAATTAAAGCCAAAAATATTTAGTCAAAAATATTCAAGAAAAGCGTGTCAATTAGCCATAATTATAAAATGCGTAAGAAACTCACATCGCGATCCGGGCACTTGTAGAAAACACGACCCTTGTTGGGTCCCTCGTCTCTTGACTCGGCACTCCATCACAATCTTCCGCTTACACTTGCCGCAGATAATGAGAGGGAGTTCGGCCTCGATCGTTTCAAGAACCGAACGAGAGAGCCGAGAGGATCCAAAGACGCTTGTCATCTACTTTCTATACTTATTTTTGCAAACTAGTGTAAATTTCATATTTTCAAATATCCATCAAATTATAGCTCAAAAACATGTTTCAATAAATAACCATCCGTATTAGTTGACCTTGCTTACGTGATCATCTCAACGAGCATTTCTCCACCGGACGGCACCGTGATTTGGCCAAGGAAGAGCTCCGATTCTACGAGAAAGGGAACACGGTCTTCCACGACCGCTGCCGCTCTCCTCGTAGAATCAAAGCTCCTCCTTGACGTCTGCTACCGCCAAGCAGAGAACATGCTTGCCGAAATAACACGGTCCGCAAGTTCAACTAGTACGGATTTTCTACAATTTTCTAACAATTTTTAAGTTTTTCATTTCATGGAAAAATTAATTCTAAGATCACGTAAGCCACCGGGGACGAGAATGGCGCGTGCTCCAAATGAGGACGAAAGCGAGGCGTGATTTTGATGAACTAATTTAACTTTTTGTTTATCCAAACATATATGCAAATCATCATGTGATTTTGAGCTAAAAATGACATATAAAATAATAATAAAGTCCAACATATAAAGTTACACATGCATCTACATCGCAAAATGAGATAAGCTACTGATAAAACATAAGAGGATTAAGTTTGTTACCTCCAAAATCGAAGAGCAACACCAATGGAGGGGGAGAGTGCAAGAACAACAGCAAGCTGAAGAACAGAGGCAGTGAGTTTGAATAATGGAATGGCTCGGGCTCGGGGAGGAAGAATTGAGCGCGAATTATAGGCCGGGATAATTAGTCCCGGTTAGGGGTCCAAACCGGGACTAAAGATTAATCTTTATTCCCGGGGCATAACCCAAACCGGGACTAAAGATCCCTGCCCCGCGGACGACCGTTGGGCAGGGACCTTTAGTCCCTAAAGGGTCCTTTAGTCCCGGGGGCAAAAAATGCCGAGGCTAATGCTAAATTGGGACATCGTTCTAAAGTCTGTTCTCTAGTAGTGAAATCATGGCCAATCCTGATTCTGAGATAAGGCAACAATTGGCTAGTGTAATGTCAAGTCAACAAGTGCCCACAATGCAACCACCACAGATGATCACACAGAGGCCATAGATGCAGATGGTCATCATGCAACCCTCGGATTCTCCAATAGTTCCAAGCAGTATCGGATCTACGGCAAATAGGGAGCACTATGCAGTTGATGACATCGTCGCACCGACAGCTTGCTCCCTAGTTATATCGTATGGTATCACCAATGTCCATACGATAGAAGTTGCCACCAGTATGGTGATCCTAGGCCGCGACTATCACAACAATAAAAATCCAGAGGAGTACTGCAGGGTAGAAGTGTTGACAGTCATGGAAGGACATAAGGATGACTTCCTAGACATCCCCACTTCTGACGGTGTCGAGAAACTCGGTCAAGCTATCAACGAGTTCATCTTATGGCCTCGGCGGGACATTAGGTTGAATGATCCTATTCCATCGATGCCATTTTTCAGAGTGGACGATGAAGGAGGGTTCTCACATACAACCTCGCCATGTCATACCCCTTTTGAGCCTGAACCTAACCCAACATCTCTAAACCCACCATCTCGTAACGCACCACTATCACCAGAACCTGACCCACCACCACCATTTAGCCTCCACACCATCTCAGAGCCTCTACCTAGCCTACCACCATCGACAGCCATGAATCCAACATCATCCCCGAGCAAGAAGGATGCCTCGTCGAAATCTAAAGGCCATGTAGCTAAAGGAAACCATAAGTCTGTGCCAAAAATGGTTACGCCCTTCGGTAATGAGACATCACCGAGTCTCATGAAGAAGTGGATGGACAGATTTGCAAGGAGACCAAACACACGTTCCATTACTGAAAAAGGTGCCAGCAAGTCCGCCTCCAACAAGATCACCATACGAAAGCCAACGAGAGAGGATTACGATAATATCCCCACCGATAAATATGTGTCAGGCAGGCCTCTACTCCAGTGGTGCGAACTCCGTTGTGTTTCACGTGCGATGAAGAGGTTGCATGGCTGGTATATGAGAGCATCTTCGGTTGGGATCAATGCCTTCGCGCGGTTGTACCACCACTAACTTTTATGGGTGGCCCTAGCAAGGTTATGGTTGACTTCAAGGACATTTGGTTGATGTTTCGCCTCGGCAAACTCGACGTCTAGCTTGTGAGCGTGTGGTGCCTGTATCCCCAGTCTGAGCCGTCCCGCCGAGACCTCGCCGTCGCCGATGCTCGTGCGTAATTGCCCCGTCGATTCCTCGCCTCCTGGCCTTTTTGCTACTGCTAGCTACGAAAGCTGCACATTTGTAGGCTTTTTTCCCTATGGCTTGTTGCTGCTTGCATCAGCGGGCTTCACGGTACATCCGCATGCTGCTTGGATCGACGACGACCGTGGCTTTTCGGTGTGGGCTCTAGTCGTGGCCAAGCACGCAGCCACCGTACGTAACTGAACTGAGGAGATATCGCTAGAGAACGAGAGACGTACGTATACAGTATAAGAACAAAAAAGATATGGATCGGAGGAGATAGGAAAACCGTCTCGTGAAGATCTACCAGTAGAAGTCAATCAACAGTGTTGAAATTTTTTACGAAAGGGATGGAAACAGAAGGAGATGACGTGCTTCACGTTACCATCCTTTTTTCTTATTCTCCGCATCCATCTCCCTGCACTAGGAAAGGTAGCCGATTCGGAAACATGGTCGTCGTGGAGCCAAATAAATAAGAGGCGTACGTACGAACGTGACCGACTGGAGTGCACTGCACTGAGGAGTGCCAACGTGGTTACGTTACCCACAGGCACACAGCCGGCCGGCAACATCATGGCGAGGATTCTCCAGGTTGTGGCGCCGCTCCTCCTCCTCCTGCTCCCCACTGGCCTCCGGGAGCTCCTCTCGCCCACGACGACGATCGACCACCAGCCGTCGGAGGGTGCTGCCAACGGCGGCGGAACAACGACCGGCGGCGGCGAGGTCCTCCTCCACCCGCTGGTGCTGGTTCCCGGGCTGACCTGCAACGAGCTGGAGGCGCGGCTCACGGACGCCTACCGCCCCTCCGTGCCGCGGTGCGGCGCGATGAAGGGGAAGGGCTGGTTCGGGCTCTGGGCCAACTGCTCCGAGCTGCCCGTGCACCACTACGTGCAGTGCTTCATAGAGCAGATGACCCTCGTCTACGACCCCGCCGCCAACGACTACCGGAACCTCCCCGGCGTCGAGACGCGCGTGCGCGGCTTCGGCTCCTCCCGAGGCTTCCAGAGGAACCCGGAGCACACGACCTGGTGCTTTGAGGTCCTTAGACACGCGCTCGAAAAGGCCGGGTACCGCGACGGCGACACCCTGTTCGCCGCCCAGTACGACCTCCGCTACGCCCCGCCGGTGCCCGGCCAGTCATCGGAGGTCTTCTCGCGCTACTTCCGGCGGCTGACGAGGCTCATCGAGGACGCGAGCGAGAAGAACGAGAACAAGAAGGTGATCCTCTTCGGGCACAGCTTCGGGGGGATGGTGGCGCTGGAGTTCGTGCGGAGCACGCCCATGTCGTGGCGAGACAGGTACATCAAGCACCTCATCCTCGTCGCTCCGGTGCTGGCGGAAGGGCTCGTGCAGACGCTGCAGTACTTCGTCTCCGGGTCCGACCTGATGTACATCCCCACGGTCACCCAGCTCGCGCTGACTCTGAGGCCAATGTGGAGGAGTTTCGAGTCCTCCATCGTCAGCTTCCCGTCCCCGGCGGTGTTCGGGGACAGGCCGCTCGTGGTCACCGCGCGGAGGAACTACTCCGCCTACGACGTGGAGGACCTCCTGGCCGACATCGGCTTCGGCGCCGGCGTGGAGCCTTTCACGAGACGAGCGGTCCCGAAGATGACCTCCTTCCAGGCCCCCATGGTGCCGACGACGTGCATCAACGGAGTGGGCAATAACGACACGCCGGAGCAGCTGGTTTACTGGGACGGCGACTTCGACGCGGAACCCGAGATAGTGTATGGCGACGGAGACAATACCATCAATTTGATCAGCATGTTGGCGTTCGACGAGAAGATGCGTCGGCAGCCGGAGCAGAACAAGCTGTACAAGTCCATCAAACTTCATGGGGCTGAGCACGGTACTATTGTGACAGAGGACTGGGCGCTCAAGCGGGTCATGCAAGAAATCCTCGAAGCCAATCGTATTTGATTAATTTTCTTATTTATTATCGTATGTGAAGGAGATAACTTGTCAATTATTTACTGTTCAACACTGATAGTGAGCGAAAACAAAAAAAGTAATACCATGATGCACAATAGTTTAATCACTTGCTATATGGTAAACTGAACTGAAAAGGGAAATTTGAATAATTCAAGAAAGATGTTAGAACTATTGGAATCTCAGCTCACTATCAGATGGAGGTTGTTTATTTTTTTACGAAACTGAATAACGATTCCATGAGCGAATAATTGAAGAAACAGGTAAAAGCTATTGGAAACTCACCTAGCCGGTCAGAAGTTGATCACTGCCAGTTGGAGGTTGTTAAATAAATTTGCACAAAGCTGAATAATGATTCCATGAGAACCTTCGGATTCCATTGGTAAGGATGTGACCATATGAATTTTGCTTAGCTATCCTGATGTTCAGAGATAAAATTCTTGTGAATATCTCCTAGAAATCCTAAGAATCATTGCGATCCCGTATTACCCAGACCAAAAATCTGAAATCAGTCATGTACACATCTGACAAAGAACTCCAATTCTCCAACGGTGATCTCAACCAAGATTTTACACATGCCATGATCCGATGCACGTTTGATGAATGACAGAAATTCACAGGGCAGGAAATAGTAATCTGGTAGGATTAATGTGATAAATAATTGCATATATGGGCACATAATTATACTCCTCCCTCAAAGATTTCCACGGATTTTAAAGCAGTCAATTAAGGTAAGTAATTTTTTGCTAATTATTTTATATCTGGGCCACGCTTGGACCCAGACCGTCCGTCTAGCCCTGAGTCCAGCCCGTCCCCAAGGTAAAGTCATCGTCACCGAAGGAGACGGAGTCATCCATTCATTTCTGCCATTCTCCACGGTATGCATGTTTAGAACACATAAATTTTATAAGAATCATTTAAAAAATTCACGAAAATCAGTCATTTTTATAGGAAAAGGTATGAGACAGGAAAAAATCTCCATTCCAAGGGAGCATGTATGTTTTTTCCCCTAAGATGAACTAGGTGAACTTTGTCCAAAGGTATCTTCGTTTAACTTTGGTTTGGTCAGAATTTATTTTTGGATTTGTTTGGATTCAAACTAAAGTGAGGCGATTTTGATCTTGCTTTTCTGTCCAACAAAACAGAAGGAAATAAGGACTGGAAGAAGGCATCGTGGATTCGGCTGACTGGCCAATCCCAAGCAGCACCACAAAACAGATAAGACGGATAACACACAGCCACCTATGTAGCCTAGACGGAAACAGAAACAAGCAGCTCTGAAACTGAAGCTCACGGGCATGGCCATCCTGGGCGCCCTCAAGCTCGCCCCGTCTCCACCCGCCCTCGCCGGAGCCGCGCCACCGGCGACGTCTACGCCCGCGCGCTCCTCGGTGCACTTCCACCTCGCCAATGCCGGCGCCGCCGCGCTCGTCGCCGCATCGCTCCTCGTCGCCGACCCCGCCGTGGCTTTCATTGTCCGCCCGCCGTTTACTTACCCTGCCTTGTTTCTGCTGTCCTCCCAAGTTCTTGCGAAATCGGGGTGTTGACGGCGCGCGCGCGGCGTGGCTGCAGGGAGGAGGCCCGTACGGGAAGCAGGTGACGCGGGGGCAGGACCTCACCGGCAAGGACTTCAGCGGCCTGACGCTCGTCAAGCAGGACTTCAAGACGGTATACTGCGATTGCATGCACATCTCACCTTGCCTTGGGCAATTTTCTTACAATTGCTATCCCATGCTTCTCGATGTGAAGAAGCCTAGAAACGCGTCAAATCTTCGAAGTTCTGTGTAAATATGCAGAAAAAAGCATGTCATTTGTCAGGGTTTTGCTTATGCTTGTTGATTCTTGATGTTCTTGATGATGCAGTCTATACTGAGGCAGGCGAACTTCAAAGGCGCGAACCTGCTCGGCGCGAGCTTCTTCGATGCAGACCTCACAAGTACTGAATTGCTTGCTACTCCATCTTCGATGGTTCCAGTTCTTGTTCCTTGTCATTGGAAAGTTTGTGACTTGGTTTTCGCTGTGTGGCTTACTGGATATGTTTGCCGACGGATTCAGGCGCTGACCTCTCTGATGCTGATCTTCGAGGCGCCGATTTCTCGCTGGCGAATTTAACAAAGGTAAAATGTTCAGGATCGCACATTACTTTGGTTCTGTTTCATCAGGATTCAATTCAAGCACGCTTGTGCACGCGGCTGTATTCTATTTTGTTCAAAATGCCTGACAAGTATCTCATTCTCATCCAAAACGTTCAGCCATTGTTAAATCAGACGTTTATATTTGGGCCCATTTCGTTCATGCTCCTCTCTTTGTTTATTTTCTATGAAACAAATCCCTTCATGTTTTCCCTGTCTGATTGAACTATCTGTCCATAGATATCAGCATGGTGATTTGTTTTTCAACACGCTCATGATTGGTTTTGCCTCACTTCATTTGCAGACAAACTTATCAAATGCCAACTTGGAAGGGCACTTGTCACAGGAAACACTTCTTTCAAAGGTGCCAACATAACTGGGGCAGGCAAGTGATTTCTGCATATCACTCTGATAGCCATCTCTTGCTGCAACTCAGCAACTGTACCTTTCTCCACTCAAAAGGTTGTCATCAGTAGAGGGGCACAAACAAATTTCCATTATTCCCCTTTGCAAAATCAAAATGAGCAAAAGTAGGAAAAGCTCAGACTGGATAAATGAGCTTGTTCTTGTCTCTTGAGTCATGACATGATCACATAAGCAGTAGTGTCACCATTTACCATTTTCTTCAACCTGCAGATTTTACCGATGTCCCGCTGCGGGACGATCAACGGGAATACCTCTGCAAAATTGCTGACGGGTAAGAACACAACGCATTGACATGGACCGATTGATGGCCATTAAGTCTAGTGATTTGTCTGTTGATCTCATCGTTTATCGAACAGAGTGAATTCAACCACCCGGAACCCCACCAAGGAGACTCTGTTCTGCAGTTGATCGATGGAAGACCCCGTGACTTGTGAGACTTGTAACTTATTCAACGCCTTAATAAACCTGTATCTGCAGCTGTAAGGATGCGAGAAATGTAAATTGAGTTATAGAGCAGGAGGAGGATGCCCAGAAATAATAAGGGTACTGGTAATTACGTGTAAATCAACGAACAATGTTAGTGCGCGTTGCTCTTTATGTGCAAGTGACTTTTTACTTGGTCATATATATGGATTAACGGAGGACTCTCAAGTTTCAAACATTGCCACATTGGTACACTGATTCAGCTGTGTTTCTTTTCCTTTCTTTTTTAAGTAAAATATACCACATTGGTGCCTGGTGGTCTGGCCCAGGCGGGTTTCGGCCCAACCCCATCCTGCATTCGTACCCGTCCAGAATGTTGACTGCTCAACTTCGACTACCTGCTGCTCTCGGGCACACTGTCGCGCTGTTCGTCAATGCACTGCGCTCTCTTGTGTGCAAAAATTAAAAAGAGATGTACGTTTTAAAAAAAAAAAAGGTGACATAAACTAGGATGGAACGCCTGCAATTGAAGGCGCTGGATGTCCTGTGCTGTCAGCATTGGTGTAAAACATACTGAATTGTGCAGTCCAAGCAACAAAAACCAAATTAAAAGCCTTTTGACGGCAGGCAGCAAACCAATGCTGTCTGTACACACAGGTATGTAGTGATGCCGAAGCACAGAGCTGGCCAAAGCACGCAATCATTCATCGTAAACAAAGATAGGTCAATTACATTATAATGTAGTGAGTTTCAGCAGCTTGCCTAGTAGTGTAGGACACTGTGCTTCCTAACTGGTATCCTGAAAAATGAGTTCGTTAGTCAGTTCCTTGATGAGTCGACACATTATAGCATGATGAAACGATAATATTGATGCTTGGTAATGAGGATATATAAATAACTATCATACTTGAACTTAGCATGTAGAAACGAACCAGGTGAGCTCAACCTAAAGCTAGCTGAAACATGAGCTCATGTTCCAAAAAAGAACTGGGTCAAATATTATATCGAAGTTAAAACACGATACTTATATATCTATATTACATTTGAATTCAACATGTAACCAAAATGCTATCCATTCAAGAGGATTAACATTGGCTACCCACACACACACACACAAAAGTCAGCATTGTGATATCTTCTCCCCTTGGCTCTATGTATTTGTGTCGAAGATGTAATGGAAATAACCCAATCCAGATCAGATCTGACTGCCAGGACGCCTGCAGCTGCGTATTTCACCGCATAGAGGCGACGGTTTTTCTTTAGCCCTGTCCCCAAAATCCACTCCCATGGGGAATCAAAACTCAAAACCAGGCCTCCTGGGTTTAGGTTGCTTGGAAAACCATGTAGTGTGATGCTATTACAAGCATGCATGCACACCCAAAAACTTTTCTCCTAAAATGCACACCAACGATGCAAAGGTTTCTAAAGAATAAATTGGCATGAATGGGTTTAAACCTGTGATGGTATTGCATTGTGCCACACTAATAGCAACCTGTACCTTCCATGATTGAGGCCTGACATGGTACTACTACCAACACTACCAAATAAAATAGATTTGCTGCACATGAACCTTTTCTGGATTGCAACACTGGCTGCTGGAAAGGCTGAACATAAAGCAATCCTTTAAGCAAGATTGGTCAGTGTTACTTCCCCTGTTTGCTAACTTGCTTACGCCTGTGAAGAATTTCAGCACCAGTTCTGTTGTGTATACTTTTAGGGAGTATACTAAGTATCTCATGAAGTGTTTAGTGCCTGATGAAAGATGAAACCTGGATCATCATGCCATTTTGTCAATGCAGAGATGGTGAGATGAAAGCATGTTGGCTAGGGACAAGGCCATGAGCTCAGAATATGAAAATGCAATGTTGTAAGGATAAGCATTGTGAATTTCATTAGATTTTCATTACACAGACATGAGTGTCGAATTGCAATTGAGGCAGAGGGAGACAGTGTGGATTTGATCCGATTTTGATGGGACAGGCTGTTCAGCGCGATGGAGCTGATCCAATAGGTTGGATGATTTATGGTATGGTTGAATAATTAAGCATGGTCACCAATGGACCGGCCCTCCATTTGGTCACGCGCGATTGTGCTGTGGCATATAGGGGCTTAAATAGCCCACGGGTTGTCTGAATTTCCTATCTGTGATCCCCTGGTCATTTTGCAGGTAAATTCCAGCCTTCAGAATTCTCATGCCAAATAAACAATAGTTATGCAAGTCAAGTGCTTGCCGTTGTGGGCTCTGAAAAGGTACTTCATGCCTTGTCCTAAATAACAATGCCTTATAGAACATTATTATATTGTAAAGATGAGCTTCCAAATTAATTTTCCTCTGGAAACTCTCCCATCCAAGGTGTGTATGGAAAAAACCCTTCTATGAATGGTTGATACTATCGGGGACCAATACTAGGGTACCCGAATGGGAGGAGCTAATACCCATCAACGCTAATTCATCAGAGAGTTAAGAGCGCGACTACACCTCTTGGTGGGCTCCGCCTTGGCTGACTCCAGAGGGTTGGCCCAACCTCGTTCGACCCCCGAGGGTTGGCTCCGCCTCGCTCGACGTCTGAGGGCTGGCTCCGCCTCGCCCGACGTCTGGGGGCTAGCTCCACCTCGCCCGACCCCCGTGGGTTGGGTACGCCTCGGCTCGCTCGACGTTTGAGGGTTGGCTCCGCCTCGCCCGACGTCTGGGGGCTGGCTCCGCCTCGCCGACGTCTGAGGGCTGGCTGCGCTTCGCCCGATCCTTCGGACACGGTTCCTAACGGAAGCTCATGCCGCCGCCAACCACCACGGGCCAGAAAGTACTACCCAAGGTCAAACTTCTGGCATCGTGCAGGAAGCGGTCACATCTCAGCATGACCTGTCCCCATGACATGTCATTCTCGGGAACTCACATCGCCCACAGTGACGGACGCGTGGTCACTATGCTGCCCACACCCTGTATGGCCGCTGATCAACACGCTGGTTCGCCGCACCGCTGACAAACGCCAAGACATGGCAGTGTCAGCGGACAGGCGCCCAGTGTGGGGCTGTCCCTGTCGCCACCTGCCATGTCAGCAGGGGCCGCACGGAGGAAAATAAAGGCCGGCAACCCTGAAAGGTCGGCGACCCTAAAGGATTTCCTCCGCCCCTCGTTCCCTTATTTTCTCCCATTTATAATCTGTGCTTTCCCTTGGCCTATAAAAGGAAAAGCAGTGCGTCCCACTAAGGGGCATCGGTTCACTACATCGCACATCGCACCGCATCACAGCAGAACCACTAGCATCGAACCTCGAACACATAGGCGGCGGCCATCGAGCTCTCGGCACCCATTCGATCTTTCCACCGACTTGGGACCTATCCCTCTCTCGTCCGTTTGTAACCCCTACTACAAGCTTTTTAGTGCTAATAACACAAGCAGCAGCCACGAACTGGACGTAGGGACATTCTGCCCGAACTAGTATAAACCTTGTGTCTTCTTAGCACACCATCCGGACCGCACGCGCATAATAACACAAATTTACTCATTGGTGTTTACCGAAACACCGCGGTTAGCTAGCGCCAGTAGTAGGGGACTTTATGCGTCCCGACATTAACATCGAGCCACGATGGCTAGTCACGGCATCACTGGGTCCCGGCGCACACGCGTGCGCTTCGGGACCTGGACTTCATCGTCACGGCGGAGGGAGAGCTGGCACGGGCGCCCGTCGTCGTTCAAACCTTCCACTCCACCGGCCTCGACGCGATCACCGAGGCACTTGAGGAGCTGTGGCTGCATGCGTCGGAGGCCCGCGCCCCCAGGAGCGGCTAGCGCCTCGACTTCGACTACGGGAGGTTGGAGCTTCAGCTCAGCATCTTCCTGGGACCCCAACCACCCTAGGAGGACCTGCGCCACCTCACCTTCTCATTCGCCAACATCATGGCACAACTTACCGGGGGAGAGTCGCTCTCCCTAGAATACCTCATCCGGAGCGCCCTGACAATGCTCCTGTTCGGTCTCCGCAACGCCGCAGAGACCGTTGGCCACCTTGTGGCGCAACGAATGATTCCATCCCCCACGAACGACGAGTTCGTAGGGGTGATTGAACACGTCGCAGAGTCTTTCCACGACCTCCTCGCAGAGGAGCCAGAGTCACCCTCTGGCTCTGACTCCAGCAGGGGGAACCATCACCCCTCTCATGAATGCATCATGACAGGTACCCCCAGGGGACACATTGAAAGCGTACACGAGGAGGAGGCTACCCCAATGAACGACCTCGATGATGAGGCCGAGGGGGAGACAGCGGCCCCACCTCGCATGTGGGTGGAGCAGCTAAAAGCCCAACACCAAGAGCTCGAGGAAGCGCGACTCCAGCTCAAGTAGGAATGCGTGGAGCTCGATCGAGAGATCGAGCGCCAGGGAGACGGTGGGCGTGGACACGCCATGTCCCGCGACGTGAACTAGAGAATCATCGTGGACGATGAATTCCTCCGTCGCTTGGCCCGGGCGAGCCAGAACATCGTCGCTGCGGCGGCCTTGCTCCGTGGTCTTCCAGAGGCCCCAATGCCCGAGGATCGTTGGGCCTACCGCGAGATTCGCACACTGCTCGAGCATGCGGTGGCGCAGCAAGCTGAGAGCTTGTTGTCTTAGCGACGCGAGCTCGATGCCAGCCAGCGCACACCCTTAGAGTGCCCTGGTAGGGACACATCGGTCCACCAGGCACCACAACGCGGTAGGCAGCACACCGCGGTCCCAGTGCATCAGTGTCTCGGCCACAACCGTGACGCACGTGACACCCTCGACGCCCGCAGGCATACCTACGATGACCCGAGAGAGGAAGCTAGCCACGGCTATCACCCTCATCGTGGCGAACGCTATGACAGTGGCGAGGACCGAAGCCCGAGCCTCGTCCCGTCGGGGCCTCAGGCATTCGGTCGACACACCCTCAACGCTGCCTTCCCGCTAAGGTACCAGCCACC